CACATCATGCTGTGCAGCCCACTACTGTAGATCACTTCCATGTGGTTAATGCTGGGTATATCTCATTTTCAGCCTCAGAAGGAGTGAGCCACAATGCTGCTTTGGAGTACCAGGAAATGAGAGGATGGGGCAGAATACTTGAGGCTGCTTCCAAAGTATTTTGGCTTGTGCAGATACCACCATAATGGGTTTTGACTTCTGTCACATCATATGAAGTCATTTGACCTTCCTCTCTGTCATCATCATCACAGACAGGTATAGGCTCTTTGATGGCCTAGATCAAAAATTAAAATTGCTCTCCTTTTCAGTTTTGGAACTACCCAGCTGAGAGGTTACCCTCATCCACCCCAATTACCTTTCATTTTCTCCCTTGATGTTTATGACACTGAGTTCCACAGCATCTCCTATCCTTCCCTGCTTTGCACTTTTATTTAAATAATGGCTTATATGCTTCCTTCTCAGAAAAAATATATTCAGGAGGGCCTACCTTAAAAATAAAACAATAAAATATAGGGTAAACCCCCCCCCAACAGAAATTAAAAAGCAGCAGCAGATAAAAGCCCAAAACTGAGTTAAACGGCTTGGGAAAATAAACACATTTTCACCTTTGCTCTCAGATAAGCAGACAGAATGTATATGTTGGAAAATTGTTGTGAAAGGAAAAATACTTATCACCTGTTGTTTCACCCATGTGTATCTTAAAAACAGGTTTTACCACATTCTTTTTGTTCACATAGTGAGTCTAGCTTCCCCACTGCCTTCTTTATTGGCACATTGGACACTTGAGTTGTCTTACATTATCCCCAGTGCCACACTACAGGCAGAGTGTCCATTAAACATACAAACAAACTCTTGCAAGTTTATTTGATTCAGTGTTGTTGTTTTTCACATCTTTTTTTAAAATTTAAAATCTTCACTCATTGACTTTCAGAAGAACTGGAAATCTACTCCTAGGAATTAAAATACTGTTGCTAACCACACAAGCACTAGATTTCATCTGATCTTGGAACCTAAACAGGGTTGCCTCTAGGTCATACTTGGATGGAAGACCACCAAAGAATACCATGTGCTATAGGAAGGAACTGGCAAAACCACTTCTGAGTATTCTTTGCCTAAGAAAACCTACGAAATTAATGGACTCAGGAAGGCACATACACATTCAACCACTAATAGAATCATAGAGTTGGAAGAGACCACAAGGGCCATCCAGTCCAACCCCATTGAGAGTCACAATCAAAGCATCCCCGACAGATGGCCATCCAGCCTCTGTTTAAAGACCCCCAAAGGAAGAGACTCCACCACTCTTTGAGGGAGTGTGTTCCACTGTCAAACAGCTCTTACTGTCAGGAAGTTTCTCCTAATGTTGAGGTGGAATCTGTTTTCCTGTAGTTTGTATCCATTGTTCCAAGCCCTATTCTCTGAAGTAGCAAAAAACAAGTGTGCTCCATCCTCAATATGACACCTCTTCAAATAGTTAAACAGGGTTCAGTTCCAATTCCATAACAATCAAATAGAGTTGGATGAAGAGCTTTTGCATTGTTGTGTTGTTGTTAACTGCCCTCAAGTCGACTTCAACATATAGCAACCTTATGAAGGAGAGACCTCCAAGTGATCCTGTCATCAACTGCTGTTCAGCTCTTGCAGATTGATGGCTATGGCTTCTATTAATCCAGAATGTTCTCTTCCTCTTTTCCTATTGCCCTCAACTTTACCAAACATTATAGTATTTTCTAGTGAGTCCTTTCTTCTCATGATAAGGCCAAAGTACAATAGTCTTAAGACCTTATCACTTGGGGGAAATCCCGCGCAGAAACTGGATTTAAAAGGTGGAGAAAACCCACAAAAGTGGGTACATTTTCCACATACCTTGCATTTAAAGTGTGCTTAACCTGAACGGAAAGTATTCAAAAGCCTCTTCTTTTTACTTTTAGAAAAATCCCGAAAGTAAAAAGAAGCGGCTTTTGACTACTTTCTGGTCGAGTTAAGCACACTTCAAAAGTAATGTCATCTAAATTTGCAGGTTTTTTCCTATTTAAAACCTCATTTCTGCTCAGGATTTCCCTCATGTGATAAAGTCTTCAGTTTAGTCATCTTGGCTTATAGGGAGAGTTCAAGCTTGAGCTGCTCTAAGATCCAATTCTATAGAACTCTTCTCCAGCACTGCATTTCAATTGTCTTGATTTTCTCCCTATCGGCTTTCTTCGTTGTCCAGCTTTCACAATCATATATTGAAATTGGAAATACATGGCATGGGGAATCCTAACTTTAATATTCAATTATATATCTTTACACTTCAGGTTCTTATCTAATTCCTTCATTGCTGCCTTCCAAGTCCTAATCTTCTGATTTCTTGACTGAAATCTTCATTCTTATTAATGACTGAGCCAAGGCATGGAAAATCTTGAGCTATTTCAGTGTCTTCATTGTTTGCTTTAAAATTGCGTAAATCATCTGTGGTCATTATTTTTATTTTCTTAATGTTCAACTGTAAACCTGGCTTTGCGCTTTCTTTCTTGACTTTCTTCAATAATGATTCCTAGTTTCTGCTTTTTTCTGATGGCAGTATGATGTCATCTGTTTATCTTAAATTGTTGATGTTCCTTCCTCCCAATTTTCACACCTTCTTCCTCCGAGTCTAATCCTTCTTTATGTATAATATGCTCAGTTTACAATAGAAACGGCAATAAAATGTAGCCTTGCCTGACTCCCTTGCCAATTGTAAACCATTTTAATTGTCTGTATTCTCTCCTACCAGTAGCCTCTTGTCCTGAGTACAGGTTAGACATCAGGACAGTCATGTTGTGGCACACGTGATCCATAATTTTTAAGAGCGATCCATACTTTTTCATGATCTACACAATCAAAGGCTTTGCTATAATCTATAAACCATTGAGTGATTTTTCTTTTGAAAATATTTTGTACAATCCATTATCCAATGCATAATTACAATATAATCCCTATTGGCTCTTCCTTTCTTGAACCCAGCTTGGACATCTGGCATGTTTCATATAGTCTTTAAATTCTACAGGGATGTTTTCTGTTGCATTTTGACATGATGGTTGTTTTAATGTTCTTCTTTAGATTTATTCTAATTTTTTATATTAGTAGTTCATGATTTGTGCCATGACAACAACAGTAGCAGTGTTTATTTATAATGCCCTTTTTACCAAATGTGCTCTTGGTCTTGTTTTTGCAGAGAGAATGGAGCTTCTTCCATCTTCTGCTTCCAGTTATATAGTCTGTTTCATTATTGGCTATCTGGTGATGTCTATGTATACTGTTCTTGGAAGCTTGAAGAATGTGTTTGTGATTAACAAACTGTTGGCCTTGAAAAATTGAGTTGGTTGGTCTCCTGCTTCATTTCTTGATCCTAGGCCAAATTTTCCTACAGGCTTTGATTCTGTTTCCTATTTTTGTATTCCAGTCGCGTATGAACCTTTGCATATGTGCATGTAAAGCAACCTCATTGGTTTGACTGCTAACTATGCATGTCACATTTTATTTTCAGGCAAGAAAAGGAAATGCAGGGGTGATGACATTCAATTCTCAATGAGCATTACATATTGGATAAATTTGTAATCCAAAACTTGACATTATGAACTTTATGGGCTAGATCTCTTATGATAGCAATCTTCAATTATCTGAAGGACTGGATGGTGGAGCTAGCTTATTTTCTGCTACTCCAGGGAATAGGATTCATACCAGTAGATTCAAATTAAAAGAAAGTTTTTGACTAAACATCAGGAAGAACAGTAAGAGCTGTTTGACACTGGGATGTGGTAGATTCTCTTTTATTGGACATTTATAAACAGAGGTTAAATGGACAGCTGGAGTCCATTTACTGGGGATACCTGCACAGGACATATCCTGTCTGATCTTGGAGGCTTAGCAAGCTCAGGCTAATACTTGGGTGGGAGACCGCCAATGAATACCAGATGTTGTAGACTATATTTCAGAGGAAGGAACTGGCAAAATAATTCTATTTCCTAAGAAAACTCTAGGAAATTAATGGGGTCATCATAAATCTACAAGTGACTTGAAGGCACATATGCATACCCATAATGGGCTGGACTAGATAACACTTTGGGCATCTTCCAGTTGTAAAGTACAATGACTGATCATGCTAGTTGACTGATTTCTGTGGGCAATATGACACCTGAATGGCCCAAAATAATTGTCACTGAAATTTACATTCAATACGTATTTGTGAATGCAGCCAGAGCATAGACAGCTTTTATCTATAGTTACTACTAATTGTAGGGATTTATATAATTATTATCATTATTGTTACTGTTGTTGATAAAACTGAATGTGTGAATAATCTCTTGTCTTCAATACTGTTGTATATCTACATGGTATATTAGCAAGAATATTTACTCCTTAATAGTTATTATTGTCACTGATGAGGGGGTGATCTTTGATCATTAGATTTAACTAATGCAACTTATTCAGAAATAGCAAGGGATAACACTTCTACAAAGAGGCTGTAGAAGCACATGACAGGTATATTCCCTAATGCTTAATGTAATTCAAGAACTTAGGAAGCTTATATACTGAGAGAAATCACAGGTCCATGTAACTCACTGTTGACTACAAGTTCACTAACCAGGGCTTCAGACAGGATTTCCCCCCTATCCTTCACTGATGAGATGCCAGGGAATTTATGTAGTGACCATGTGTTCTACCTGGAGCTTAGAAATGTTACTTTTTTGGTCTATAGTTCCCAGAATCCTCCCAACCACCATAGCCACTGACCATGCTGGTTAGCTGGTTATTCTAGGAGTTATATTCTAAAAAGTAACTTTCCCAAGCTCTGGCTCTGCCACTGAGTGGTAGTTGTTGTTGTGTTGTGTGCCTTCAAGTCATTTCCAATTTATGACAGCCCTAAGGCAAACCTATCATGGGGTTTTCTTGGCAAGGTTTGTTCAGAGGGGGTTTGACATTGCCATCCTCTGAGGCTGAGAGAGTGTGATTTGCCAAGGTCACCCAGTGGGTTTACATGGCCAAGCTAGAATTTGAACCCTGGTCTCCGGAGTCATAGTCCAACGTTCAAACCACTACACCACACTAGTCTCTACACCAGAGGTAGGCAACCTTTCCCCTTTAAGGGCCGAGGGACTTCAGCTCCCAGAATCCCGGGAGCTATTGGCCAACATGGCTGAGGCTTCTGGGAGCTGAAGTCCCTCGGCCCTTAAAAGGGAAAGGTTGCCTACCCCTACTCTACACTGAGCTATAACCACTCCCCTAAAATGGAACATAAACCTTCACATCTGTCTTGGTGTCATGGGGTTGAAAGACCCTTATTTCAATTGGTCCTAAATTGGACACATGCCTTTCTAAATCAAACAGAACTATGTATTTATGTTCTCTGCTATGGATCCAGCATGGTTTGGGTGCTGAACTAGGTTTCCAGGAGACTGGGGTTTGCATCCCTGCTTAGCCATGGAAAACCCACTGAGTGACCTTGGATAAGTCATAATCTCTCAGCCTAAAAGGAAGACATTGGCAACCCATCTACATAAGTTGCTATAAGTCAGAGTTAACTTGAAGATGCATAATAATTGCAACAAATGCTCCTGAGAGCTGACTTCCTTATAATAAGCATCAGACAGCCTCAAGGGTGAAACTCTTTGTGATGATTTGATAGCACAGTTTTTTGAACTAAGTAATTCCAGTGTTGTTGCTCTGGTTTTTCTTGTGACATCTGGAAGCATCCTCTGAAAAAAGAGCACAGTATTTTAAGTGTATATATAATAATCCAGTAATACAAAAAAAAGAAATAAAAGGAAGTATCAACATGCAACAATTTGAAATACACATATACAAAAGGAGAAAAAAGCCAGAGGCAGATTAAAAAAAAAGAAAAAAGAAAAAGAAACAAATTAACTAACTGAAATGCATAAACAAATAATATCTAACATATTGTTGCCTCACAGCCTCCCCACATCTTACCCAATGACTTTCAGCACATTCCTGACTGCAGTCAACAATTCTACCATAGTTATTCCTCTCTAATTAACTTCCACTTATATGAATGTACTTTCCTATTCATTAGGAAATAATTTATATTTAAACTTTTTTTACATAATTTATAAAAGGTTGCCAGGTTCTCATATACACGCGAGTCAAAATAAAAATTGAGCACAGTATTAATTGGATAGGGTTGTTGGGAGAATTGCTGGAAATTACAGTAAAAGTTCAAACTTCCCATTAAGACTCTAAAAATAATGTATGAGAACTGGCATTCAGATGCACTAATCTGAGAAAGTCCACAGACTTTTGTACAAATACATTTAGAAGCCATATCAAGGGTGCCAATACTTCCCAGTCTAATAAAACTAATAAGCCCAAAAGGGATTGTGAATGGGCTATTAGTGCAGAATCTGTCATTCAGCATAGTTAGTCGTTTTGGGATGTGGGGCAAAGAAGGCTTGTATTCTGTTTTCAGTCTGTAGGCTTGTGAAGGAACCTATCAGCCCTTAATAAGAATAACTGCAGTGGAGGAAAGGAACCTTTCTATTTCAGGAAACTCATCTTAGATGTTAGCAGCCAAATTTTTAATGAGACTTTTACTTTATGTCTAGTTTTTGAGCAAGGTTGACTTAGGGTCAAGTAATAAGCTTGACTGCAGTTATGGAATCTGTGATGGATCTAACTGCGTCTGCTGTGGAAAACAGTTGTGTAAGATCTTCAAAACTAATAATAGGAAATGCTGGCATTGTAATAACGTAAGAGACGGTTTTAATCATAAGTGCAGGTACTGTACAAGAGCAATGACCTTTTAGAAAATGATGGTACATTCAATTCATATGAGGAAATTATGCATTCTACCCACTAGTTTGCTTGCTAAATTATGTGAAGGATAATGCAGTAGCGGTGTGTAAACAAGAAATGGTACTGAATATGATAAGAGCTGGAAGAAAGGCTTTTGAAAAATACTGCAACTGTCCTGACTGATCATATATAGTTAGGAACATTGTACAGCAGTGATTCTTCACATTTTATTTACCAGGGACCCCTTTTGTTGCCATGGACCCCCTAAATTTAACTTAAGATGTAATAATAATAATAATAATAATACCACTTGAACACTGAAACATTAACAATTACACTATCCATTGAACTTACCCTCAAAGGCATTGCCCTAAGGCAAACATTGCTCCTGATTCTTCCCATCATTTTGCATCTGGAGCAAATTGATTGGCAACACAGAAACCAGCCTTGGCTGTTTTCATGTGGCTGCTCAACTGTGGGGAGGAGGTTGACTGAGTAGTTTTAAGCTTTCATGGACCTGCTGTGAAGACGTTGCAGCCCCGTGGGGGTCTGCAGACTATAGCTACACCACTTTCTAGAAGGGCTACACCACTTTCTGTCTCATAGGTGTTGGTTATGAACTATGTACAATGCATTTATTAATTTATTCATTTGATTTTTTTTATCCTCCCTGCTTCCAAAGATCTTAGGGTCAAAGACTTGTTTCATCATTCTTTCATTTTCACAGTAAACCTGTCAACTAGGTTATATTAAGAATGGTTTCCAAGTGGTCTTCAAAGCTGAATGGGAATTTGAACCATCTCTCTCTGTTAGTAGTCCAGCTCTAACAACTATTCACTATAATGGTAGAAGTGCAACAACGCTTAGCACTGAAGAATGCCTCCAAGAGGACAGTAGTAATAGGGTTAGATAATGTGGTCTTAGGGTTGCCATAAATCAGAAATTACTTGAAGGCACACAACAACAAAGTTTGAATTACTCAAAGTGTCCCCTCTTGTCTACACATTCTGGCCCCTTTGTGATGTAAAATGATACTCTCAGGGATGCTTTTCCCCCTTTTCTCTACCCACTAATCCTCCTTCAAGTCATCCCTGAAATTAAGATAGATTAGATCAACACCCTGAGTAACTTTCCTATCTTAGAATAAAGTTCCTGAGATAAAGCCTTTCATTTGTTTCTCAAAGCCATTGGTGTTTTTTGCTCTGGATCTCTAACTGCTGCATGCACTCTTTCTCATATCATTTGTAGCCTGAGTTTCTGCTTAATAGAGCAGCACTGAAGGCAGCAAACAGCAGTCAAAGAACATAATAAATAAATAAGATTGAAATCCCACATGAAGAGAATTTAACATTCTCACCAAGAAAACACTTGTCCTGTCTGCATTAGGCTTCCATTTATTATCCCTCCTTTAGGACCTCCTCCAGGTATCAGTTCAGACATTAGGAGCATCCTGGTGTCTAGAAGGGAAAGGGAAGACATAGCTGTGGAAAGGGAAGACATGTTGTGTATTGTCCACAATTATGACATAGCTCCTCATGCCTGAAGCTAGATTTGAAATGATCCAGACAGGGGTAGGATGCTAGAATGCCCTCTGAGATGATGGACTTTATCATATGGGAGGAAAGCCGGGATTAAAAAGGCATTTTCCTGGCAAAGTCACGAGATGGCGATAAAGATTTTCAGATGACGTCAAGATTAGAGAGGACTTATCTCAAGAAGAAACAGGAATGCTTCAACAAGAAACCATTCACAGGATTTCCCTGTGACTGATTTGTTGCTTGAACATTCCTGTTTCTTCCTGGGATGAGTAATTGTGATGTGTCTGAAAATCTTTGCCATGATCTCACAACTTTGCCAGGAAAATGCCTTTTTAAACCCCGCTTTAATTCCGGCTTCCCCCCTGTATGATAGTCTCCTGTAAAAAAAACAAAACCCACCAATTTATGTGGGTGACAATGTTCACCCACTTGGGGTAGAGGGAATTCCCAGTGTTGGGGAGGGCCTGGAGAAGGAATTGCAGAGGTGGACATACTTATCTGGTGCCTACAAGTAAGTATTTTTAGGATGCAAGCAGCACAATGACCACAGTGTGTTCTTTGTGCAGCTACTTCTGTACAGCAGGAGCCAATTATAGTGTTCCCATGCTGCTTGTGTGTGCTCTGCCATTTAAAAGCAAACAAACAATTCTTCAGCCAAAAAAAAAAAAAAAAAAAAAAGGCCAGATTCAGCATAAAATACAGGCAGACCTAACAGCCTGAATACATTATGCAAATTTGCTTAATTTATTAGAGCTGCACTAGTGATGGGGAAAAATAAGGAACTATGGGGGGTTGCAGACTGCCAGAAATAGTGCAACTTGAGTCCAC